TAGCTGTAACATCTATAATGATAACTGTAACAAGAACGGTAATGATAACTGTAACAATAGCTGTAACATCTATAATGATAACTGTAACAAGAACGGTAATGATAACTGTAACAATAGCTGTAACATCTATAATGATAACTGTAACAAGAACGGTAATGATAACTGTAACAATAGCTGTAACATCTATAATGATAACTGTAACGAACTGTAACAATAGCTGTAACAGTAGCTGTAACATCTATAATGATAACTGTAACAAGAACGGTAATGATAACTGTAACAAGAACTGTAATGATAACTGTAACAATAACGGTAACATCTATAATGATATCTGTAACAATAGCTGTAACATCTATAATGATAACTGTAATGAACTGTAACAAAAACTATAATGATAACTAGGGCTGCACGATAAATCGCATGCGATATTTAATGCGCATCTTGTCAGAAAGCCGGTTCTGTAATCAGCGGTAAGTCTCCATCACGTGCGTGCTTTCACATTGAGCAGCATTAACTACACAGAGCCGTTGTTCACTGACGAGCTGCGCTGTAACATCTATAATGATAACTGTAACAAGAACTGTAACATCTATAATGATAACTGTAACAAGAACTGTAATCTATAATGATAACTGTAACAAGAACTGTAACATCTATAATGATAACTGTCACAGTAACTGTAACAAGAAAGAACTGTAAGGATAACTATAATGATAACTAAAATTATAACTGTAACACTATATTTAACAATAACTGTAACCAAAACTAAAACAATAATGATAACTAACGTAACTGTAACAACAATAAATAAATATAATGTTAATCATAATGAAAACTATAACTATGCTGATAACTGTAATGATTACTGTATAACAATAGATTTATCACCGCACTGTTCTTTTAACCCTCTTTTCCTTTTATTCTAATGTAGAATCTTAATCATTTTAATTTTAAATTCAGTTTAAACAATTTATCCTTTTTCATTTTTTACTTTTATTGTATATGTTATAATGTTTAAATATTTCTTATACAACTTTTTATAATTATTATTTTTTTATTTTCTGTAAGCCACTTTGAATTACCTCTGTGTATGAAGTGTGCTATATAAATAAACTTACCTTGCCTAATGATAATTATAATAATAACTATAACAATAACTGCAATGAGAATTTTAACTGTAAAGCTAACTATAACTATAATAATAACTATAACAAAAAAATTTATACCTTTATAAGTATCACTAAAAATAACTGAAACAGTAAGTGTATCAATAACAATAATGATAATTGTAACGATAACTATAATGATAACTTCAACGATAACTATAACTAATGATAACTGTATCTTTAGTAATAACATTTTAACTGTAATAATACCTATAGTGATAACTATAATAATAACTATAACAAAAAATATGATACCTTTATAAGTATCACTAAAAATAACTGAAACAGTAAGTGTATCAATAACTGTAATGATAATTGTAACTAACTATAACTGTAACAATAACTATAATGAAAACTTCAACGATAACTATAACTAATGCTAACTGTAACTTTAGTAATAACATTTTAACTGTAATAATACCTATAGTGATAACTATAACAGTAACTATAATGTTAACTGCAACTATAACTAACAATAACTGAAACGATAACTTTAATGATAATTGTAGCGTTATATTAGCATTCACACCAGCGGATGATAACGTTGTGTTCATTATAAGCATGCTGCAGTTTTGTCGTCTGTCGCTTTAAATGCTCGAAGCTCGTTAAAGTCGTTGGATTCTGATTGGCTGTCAGTGTTTTTATAGTTTATCGGCTGGAAATACTCAGTTATATCGTTCCTGTGGAATACCTCACTCTGATTGGTCAGTTACCTCACTCTGATTGGTCCGTTGCCTCACTCTGATTGGTCTGTTGCCTCACTCTGATTGGTCAGTTGCTCAGTCTGGTTGGGCCGTTGCCTCACTCT